AAAAAAAAAAAAAAAAGCAGTCTCCCTAGCCTGTAATGCAAGTCAGTTAAGCTCCTTTACTCTGAAAACAACACAGATGATGATTTTTTAATTCAAAAATACAGAGTAATATTTGGAAACCATTTTCAACACCTGGTTACGAACATCAATGCCTACCTATGAAATGAACATTATGCCTGATTTCCTGCACTTATATTTTGCACTTCAGTTTCACTGGAGGATTATAGGTGGATTTGGCTGCTTTCTAGTGTCACTTCACCTGCGTTATTCAGTGGTGCTGTTAGGGACCTGGCACTCAGCTAAAACACACCTGCTACCCACATGCTATTCCACTATGAAGTTAATATAACAAGGGAGCCAAAAGATGATTTTTAATTACATTATAGACTGTAGATGAAACAGAGGCAAAGTGACCRTAAAACCTGCCAGTACCAGAAGCACACAACCAAGTCAAATTAACACCAAGCAAAATAAATGCAAACGTTAAAAGTAAAATCCGTTTGTATTCCCACCTCTCTTCATTTTCTCCTTTGCTTGATGTATGCTGCCCCAGATTTACTCTTCCTTAGCTTTGACCCATTTGGTATGCATTTAATGAGATACTAAGAGTAATGGTTCTGTGTCCCATGCAGCCTGATAGCTTGACAATTGCAATTCCGCACATTACCTTTGCAGTGGTTTTCATCCCAAGGATACACACAATTCTGGAGTCCATTGCAGACCAATGTATTATTAATACACATATTACTGTGGCAAAAGAATGTGTTGGCTTCACAAGGGGCTAAAAATAAAAGAGAGAAGTTGATATTAAGCAGTAAATTATTCATCTCACCCAGCAAACACTACTGGAAATGATCTTACAATCTGTAAGAGGAGAAAGCTATTCAACAGAGATTCCTTCAGCGGGTTTATTATTTGACGTGCTGCACTAGCAGCACTCAAATTACACACTGTTTATTACTCTGTGGCACAAGTTTTTCAGTAGTATCTAAGACAGATGGACTTCCTTCCAACAGTTGGATTATAATGGCAAAGAGCTCATGTTTATGTTTGTTTCTATTGTTGATATTCCAGTTTTATTTGACTACTTGTCACATCCTGACTGAATGAAGATGTTCTAGATCCAGAAAAAAAATAAAATCGGGAAAAAAAAGTTCATAAGTGGATTCCAGTAAAAAAAAAAAGGTACCTTTTTGATTATAGAATTAGAGATTGCAAAAGGGGCAATATTTTCATCCGGGCAGATTAGTAAAAATTAATTGGTTTATGCGATTATTTAGCTCAACAAGCCTTTAAAAATTACTTTTTTTAAATGGAAGTTAAAAATAGGAGAGGAACCTTAAATAATCAGAAAGAAGTTATGATGCTCACGTAATTATTTTTTGTGACTTGTTTTTTGGTATTTCATGACAGTTCCTCTTCCCTGCAATTATAAAAGTAGTTACCATGAAAATCTATATACATAGCATAGACTGTTTCAGTGATTTGCTAAGGACAGAATAAAGGTTTTGTATTGTAGAAGTTAATGTCTCCAAACACAATCTGAAGAAATAGACTTTTCAGTAAGTGTCATTGAATGCCATTGAAACTTGCACACTTCTCCATCCACATAACCATCCAATTAGATATAATAGTTTGTATATATTGTATATTTCAACAGTGTGTATAATAGTATCTTCAAATGTTCACAGTTGATTAAATGCCATGTTGAAAATTACTCACATACCTCTACCGATATCTTCAACAGAGGTCTAATATTGTAAGGGACCGTAACAGTTATGATCTACTAGCTAAGTAACGCATTTGTAAAACTGCAAATATTTATTTGTAATCATGAAAAGTTATTTTCTGAGATAGTCCCATTGGCTTTATATGCATGTTTGTGTTTGTGTGCATGTGCATGTGTGTGTGTGTGTTTGTGTGTGTATGTGTGTGTGTGAGAGAGAGAAAGAAAACTATAACTCACATTGCTTTCTAAAGGTTAGAGACTGCCATGAAAATTTGCACAAATACATCAAAATATATCTTTGTGATAATATCTAGAGTCCAAGGGTAGACATTCTACTCATTTGGAGTTTCATAGACTCCTTCTGCCTGGGTGCCTGAGTAAAGTTTGCAGTCACACAGTAAGAGGGCTCCAGATGCATCCATCTCCTATCAACGGTCCTTAGTAGTCACTCATTGAAAATGCTTGGCAATGCATAGGAAATACACAATAAAAGAAGACTCAAAAGACAAATGGAGAAAACTTAAAGAAGGATAGAGAAAGAAAGAAAAAAAAAACAGAAAAAAAAAGTGCTGGTAAAGCCATAAAGAAATAAAAAATGTACAGAGTGGTATGAAATATCTTAAAAGTGTCGGGGACAAAGTGCTGTCTCTGAGCATGTAGAACCTTTTAGATGTCTATGACTTRCCCTTGTCATTTTAAATTCTGTCTGATCTAATCCTGGATGTGACAGCAAGAAAGGATTAATAGTCYCCCAAATCCCCAAAAGAACAGAGAGCAATTTCAGGGAAGAAAGGACAGTTATGTGAGTCATAAAAATAGGGATTTAAAATATATATGAGTGGTAAATATAAAAGGAGAAACTGGAAGAAGGTAGTAAAGCAAGTGAAAGAGAGAAATTAAAAAAGAACTGTGAAAAACAGAGAAACAGATGACACTCAAGGCATTTAGTACTCAATGGAATAACAGGAGATTTTATATAAAATGAAAAACATCAGGAAAAAGGACAGGAATAGGAGACAAAAAGAGCAGATATATATATTTGCAGATTTTAGAAGACAGGATAATTATGTAAAATGGTGGCAAGGAGATCTGCAAGTAGAAGTCAAAAGAAAGGAATAAGAAAGATCATTCCCATTTCCCTAAATTCACAATATTGAACTACAGAGGAAAGGTATGCTATATGAAGAATAAATATTAAGATTAGATGAACAGAGAAGCAAAGCAATTTATGAGTAAAAGAACAGCAAATTTAACACAACAGAAAGCCATGAGCCTTCTAACCCTAAAAAACAAACATCTCCTTCTTTATGTTTTAAAAATTCAGTATAGTCAAGTCCTGTCTGTGATCCATTGAACTCTGAGTGATTAAGCTGGACAAGAGATCAATATATATTTTCCCTACTAATGAGAGGTTTTTGTCAGAATGAATGAAAGCATAGAGGAAACCTGAGAGCTTGTCAGTCTCTACGTACAATAGGGACTAACAATAGGTCTATGTGGAATTAGCTTTTTTCGCCCTTGAAGAGGTAAAACAAAGAAGTCTTGGGGCTCTGCAACAAGGATATTTGAGTGATATCTGAAAGATAAATGAACTGACAGTAAATGGGCTTTTTTTGCAGCAGGATAGAGCTGGACTTGATCATCTCCTGAAGATCTCAAAAATACAGGAAGAGAATGGAAACTGGCAGACAAAGTCCATGAATGCGACACTTCAGAAGTTAACCTCAGCCTTCAACATCTGTGATAGTAATGCCGCAAGATATAAAAGTTTAAATCTGAGGAAAGATTTTGAGCATTATTTTTTCATAAAGAAGTCATTGTTATCACTAACTTCAACCAGAAAAATTAGCACAGACTTGGAGGAGACAATCCTTGAAAATCAACCAGCCCTCCTGAATCCCTTATTTTTCCAGGACCATCTCCCATGGGAAAAATAAACAGACTCCCAGCAGAAGTCCTGCTACATCAGTCTGCAGTCTTCACCATGACTAACTGACCTTTTTATGAGAGAGTAGTGGTAATACATGGAGATCAGCCAAGACTGGAGGATGAGCCATCTGAGAGCTTATGAGTCAGTATTAGAAGGCAAACAAACACGGGTAATGTTGCTGTGGGTTTCTGCTACTGGCTGCATAAACAGGCAGAAGTAGATAAGGCTTTCTTCAGACAACTGGGAGAAGCCACACCTTCACAGTCCCTAATCCTTACAGACACTTTAACCAGCCCATTACTGGGCTGTTGGAGGGACAGCACAGCACAGTCAGGAGAAYGGTTCAAGAATGATCCATCCTGACATGCAGGAAGTCAGGCAAAAGTAGCAGGAGGGCACATGGTTGTGCAAGGATTTCCTGACTAAACTCAAACAGAAGAAGGAAGCACAGAAGTGGAGGAGGCAGGGTCAGATCATGCATCATGAATATAGAGACACTGTCCAATTGTGTAGGAATAAGATTAGGGAGATAAAGCCCCCCCTGGAGTTGAATCTGTTGAGGAATGTGAAGGGCAACAAGAAGAGCTTCTACTTACTGGTCTATGAGCTGTGAAAGGAAACAGCTGGGGGACAAGGTGAACATGAGCCAACAAAGTACTCACATAGCAAAGGAGGTCAACTGCATCCTGAGCTACATTAAGACTACAGCCATCAAATCAAGGGAGGTGATCCTCTATTTAACACTGGTCAGACCACACCTGGAATGCTGGGTCCTGTTCTGGGCTCCCCTGCAGCCTATCTCATACAACGAGAAGTAGAGCAAACTAGGACTGTTCAGCCTTGAGCAGAAAAGACTTCAGAGAACCTTATCAATATGTATAAATACCAGAATGCAAGAGTAAAGCAACAGGAGCCAGACTCTTTTCAGTAGTGAAGTGACAGGACAAGAGACAGTGAGGACAAACTAAAACATGTTTTCACTTGTTTTTAGCAAGAAAACACTTTTTCATTRTGAGGGTTGTAAAATGTTAGAGGTAACCCCATAGAGGTTATTCAGAAAACTTTCAAAATCCAATTGAATATGGTCCAGGGCAACCTGCTCTAGCTGGCCCTGCTTGACCAGGGGTTTGATCTCAATAATATCCAAAAGTCGCTGCCAAGTTCAATGATTCCAGGGTTTTGTGAAAATGTGACTTCATAATTTGATTAAAAGTTGCATTTGGGATCATATGGTAATATAGTTTCTGCTATGCAGCTTGAATTAAGATCTGCCAAGATATTAAGTGGCATAGATATTAATGAGATAACATATTCAGTGCAATGAAAAATTCATAATGATTATAGCACTAAGGAGCAAATTATAATCGTTCATATAATTCTACCTGATATTTTGATAAGTCTTCCTTAAATTCTAGGATTTTTACAGGATGAAAATACTCTAATATAAATTAAAGCACCAATTAAAAAAAATTATCAAAAGATATATATTGAGTTTGTATATGAACTGTTTAACATTCTCACAGAAAACTCTAGTTCATATAACACATTTACAAAAAGAATAAGACTGATTTTAAACAATTCCCTTTTATATTATTTTTAACTACAGTATTTCCTTTTTTAAAATGTATTTGGTATGTGTAAGGGTAATTMGTATCTTAATATATAAATGGATTTTATACTTATTGAACTAATTATATATGTAATGGCTTCTACTTTGTAACAGTTTTGGATATTGGACACAAGATGGAGCACTTATCCCAGAGAATATATAAGCAAATATGTGAATAGGGATAGAGTTTTTGTTTTTTTAGGTTTAAGAAAATTATACTTTAAAAATGCCCCATTTCTTCCGCCTCACTTGTAAATATATTTTTACTTTTGATGGGGACATGTTAGATGATTGCTGTAATGATCATATCTCCTGAAGGTCACTATTCCAGTATTCAGAAAGTTCATGTTCAGCATTTGAAGATTACTATTTTGAAAAGCTATAAAAAATGAGCCAAAAGTCTGTATCTTCTTCCTAGCAGAAGATGCTCTGAAAATAAGTACGGAAACAATAACCTATATTTTGCWTCTATTAATGAGGAATGATCATAAATTCTTTTAATCCTAAATGAGT